GGGGTGACACGGAGGAGAATGGCACGGACTCATACCGCAGGGACCTGACAGAGGTGTCTGAGGAAGACTCATCAGACTATGAGTACAGTTAGGTCCTCCCACACGGACTGGGAATGAGGAGGAATGTGTGGAAGAGAGGACAGGGAGAACGAAAGCGTTACTGCATTCCATTTCTGTACTGACGTGCAATATATACAGTTTAGCCTTTGTCATGATGTAATGGCTTTCTTCTTCTAGACTTATTTTAATCAGTATTTCCTTCAGCGTTCTGGTGAGGGGTGGGAGAAATCCTGGGGAAAGAAAACTTATAAGTGATTGTGGGCATCCTTCAAAAAAGGAAGAAGCAACCAGCCTCCCAGCTGGAGTGTGATTGTGCAAAGTTTGCTCAAGCTGAAACGGAGTGTGACATAATGTATATCTCTGTATAAAGAAAAGGGGGGGGCTCGGGGGGGGGGGGGAAGTAAAGCAAAAAAAAATCTGTGTACAATTTTGAATGGCGTATTCAGGGACTTAATAAATCTCGTGTACATATACTTAGATTTTCAGTTGGTTTCATATATTTAAGAAGAGCAACGATCATGCCAGTATCTTACCATTCCTTGGGAATAAACCGAAGCATTGTACTTTTCTTGTGCCGCTCTCCGGTAAGTGCAATATGCTGTGTTATGTTGAACTACGAGAACAATACAATCTGAATAAATGGAACTGAAGGGGATCGATTGTCTTTGTTACGTTGCTGAGGGCTGCTGGAGGGAGGGAGCTCGGCTGTGCTCAGCGTAACCCCTCTGCTGCCAATTCCTGATAACACCGATCCCATCGGTTGCCAGAACCGCCCGGGGAGAAGCCCTGCACTAAACGTGCTCATTCATTCCTCAAAACTCAGATTAACGGGTCAGAGTGAACGACTCTGCCCTGCAAGCACATCGCCGATCACCTAAAAACGGCCCCGTGGTCTCCACTCGTATTCCCGCACAAATTTAGTTTTTACAATTTCAAATTACAGGTATTTCCAGCCTTACATTGCCAGCAGTTACATATCCAACCCCGGAAAAAGCTTTTCTCTGTGCTGAGCGTCGCGCCGATCACTCCGTGCGCGCCCCGATAGGGTCTGACAAAACAAAGAAACGAGGGTGAAGTTTTTCGTTCGTTCCTTCGCAGACAGCGAAAACCTTCGATCCAACCGCAGCGGCACCTGAGGTCGCGTTTGGCTCCGTAGATTTCTCTCGAAATAAAAATAAATCGTTTGCTTAAATTCCTACCTCGTTAGGAAACAAAACAAACGACTTACAGTCTCGGGAAAAGAAAAGAACGGCCACAAACGGCCACGGCGATTCCCGAACAGCTTTCAGCAGTCCCCGGGGGCCGCGAGATGCACAGCCGCCGCCCGACGCTGCCGCTGAGCCTCGCCGCGGTGCCGTCGGGGCGGCCGGGCCGCTGCCTACGGGGCGCGAAGCCGCGAGAAGAGCGCGGCGGGGCTGGCGACGGAGCGGCGGTGGGAGCGGAGACCCCTGCCCTCAGCCGCTTCGCTGTCAGCTGCATAGAGGCGGTGAGCCGTCGCCCCGGGTCCAAGCCCGCTCCCGCCCGGCCGCGGTGCCGTCAGCCCGCGGGCAGCGCCTCCCGCTCCGCTCGGCCCGGAGCTTCCAGGAGCCTTACGGGTGCCAGACCCTAATCGCGGCAGCCCCGGCTGCGCAAGTCGCAGCCTTCAGGGGCTCCCCGAGACGCTCCGGGAGCCTCTCGGCCGTCCCGACGGCGGCTCCGCCGGGACACGGCAGGCACGCGGCACGCTGCCGTCGGTGCCGGCGTCGGGATCGGCTCCCGAGAGGGGCACGGCGGAAGCGGCGAGCCCAGGGCGAGCTGCAGCGCCTGTTGAGCGCGGCGGGAGGGGCGGGAGGGCCGGGCCGGGCCGGGCGGTGCCGGGGGCGCGGGCCGGGGAGGAGCCAGGCGGCGGCGGGGCCGAACCGCGCTACGCACGCCCTCGCCCAGAGGGGACCCGGCCGTGGCGGAGGTACCTTGGACAGAGGCGCCGCGCCCGCCCGGAGCCGCCGGAGGGCACCGAGTCGCAGGTACGGGCGGGCTGTTTCGCCCCGACGGCGCGGCTGCGAGAGTCGGGCGGGGGGAGCTGGGTGACCGGCGGCGGGGCTCGGCGCGGAGCGGAGCGCCGGGAGGTTCACCTCGCCGGATTCCGCTGCGCTGGAGGCACCCACGGGGCCGCCCCGCCGCGCCGGGGGGACGGGAGAGGAGGCGGCTGTGGCGGCCCGGGGCTGGGGTGCGAGAAGGTCTCGGGTGCATCGATGGCGGAGAAGGAGCGGTCCTCGACGGGACCCACCGCTGTTGTGGTCCGTGGGGGGCTCGTGGAGGTGGCGGGGAGGCTCCTGCCTCTGCCGTCGTGTTATGCCGCAGCAACGCGCTCTGCACGCTTGTATTCCTGGTAAGGCGAAGCTTCCTCTTACATGTAGATTCCTGATAACTTTAAGCAGAGGCTCCCGATAACACCGAGAGTGAGGATCAGCAGACGGAGGCTGAGTGCAACGCCCCAGTGACTTTCTATGATATACTAGAGGATGCCTCCTAGGTCCAGCATGCACAGAGAACGGGAGCATTATCACCCAGGCTTAGAGCTATCTGCTAACAGAGAGATCAGAGAGTGCCTTTTGTTGTGGATTTGAGCTGTTGCTCTGAGCTGCAGGGGATGGCTACCGGCTCCCCAGGCTGCCGGGACGCAGAGCCGTCCTGCTAAGCTGCTCACCCTGGCCTTCCCGCTAAGCCAGCTGTAAATAAAACCAGCCAGGATTAATTTTATTTCTTTTTTTTTCCCTCATAACTTTGACAATGCACCTCACTACCATCCGAGTGAGCAACTTTGAAGTCATCTTGAATTTCTGCCGGATTTGCCCTTGTAGTCAGTTTCCTTGTTCAGTGCTAGGCAAATACAGGATTGGATGTGATGCTAAGCTGGGAGCTGTCAAACCAGAGACAAAGCCTCAGTTCATCCACATGACAAAGGAAAACAGTTCACTCAGCCAGCACCACTTAAGTGGGCTGGTTGTTAGCATTACTGTTCACAGACAGTAGGACCTAGAGTTGGTGATATTTACTGCAGTATGACAAAAAAACAAAAACAAAAACAAAAACAAAAAAAAAAAAAACAAGATCAGGAGAGCAAGAACAGAAGTCCCAGTAAATAGCAGAATAGCAACAAGATTTTTCCTCTAGGGTGAAACAGGGTCCCTGAAGACAAAATGGCTGCTCTGCGTGTGAATGCTGCTGGGGAGATGAGGCCAGCACATGTGGGAGCAAACCCCCATATTTCGTGAGCTACAGGACACATCCATTATTTGGAGTGCTTTGGACCAGAGTTGCTATGAGTTGAGCGCAGTGTGATGCAATGAGACCAGCGTAGCACACAGGAGGGAGCGGAGCAGCGCAGCGGGTTAATGTGGCCTTCTGATGAGGGAAATGGTCTCTTATCAGAGTTAAAATCCTGAGCAGATGACAGATCAACATGAGGTGGCTCGTTGCAGTGCCTCAGGGACACCTCTCAGCCTTATACAACCTACTTCCCAGAGCACAGCCCCACTGGCAGCCAGCGCAGGACAGAGAGAGGACAGCAACAGCACAGAGCCTCAGTGGCAATGTACAGGTTGGAGAACATGTGCTGAGGCCACAGAACTGGAACAGCTAAGCCAGCTCCTCTGGACAGGAATAATACACAACTCTCTCTGCCCACCCCTAACCAAAATGCTTCTTTTTGCTTTCACACATTTCCTTTTTTTTTTTTTTTTTTAATCTAAATTGTATTTAAAAGCTACTGTAGAAATGATTCAAGTTCTCTGAATTTGTAGTCCTAAAGGTTTCAGAGAGGAAATACGACTTTATTTCCTACTTAGTCAACATAAGCTTTCTATTTTGCATACTCACAGTGCAAAACAATTACAAAGGAACCTCTGTGACACGCCAAGACCTGTCCAGGCACACACAGAACTCATTCTGCTTAAACCATACCACTGTAACTGAAGGACAGCTACTTGCTGTGGGCTCTACTGTGTCAAAAAAAGTGTGTTTCTCAGTATTCTTGTACAGAAAAGGAATAACAGACATCTTTAACATTGAGAACCACGATAAGAACAGTGCCGCAAAGGCAGATGTGGAATTATCTGCTCTGTCACAGGTGAGTTCTGTGACTTAGGGCAGGTTGAAGCCATCCTCCTGGATAAGTAGCTGCTATTTGAAAAGACTGAGTGGAGCAGCTGAAAGGCAGCGTGTGCCACCATCCTTGGTCACCCTACAGCCAACCTGCCTGCCTAGGCACGCTCCTGGCATCTCCCATCCCAGAAGCTGTGCCCCAAAGCATCCACACCTCTTCAGTTTCCAGCCCCCATCACAGTCCTTTCTGCAGCCTCCACATCCTTAACACAGAGTTCTCAGCACCTCAGTGGGTCTGCGTAACTGTACAGTGATTAATACATTTAAAGGTCATGGGGCTTTCATTTAAAATGGCAGGGGGGAGGGGCATATAAGATCCATAGTTAACTGCATCCTTGCAGTTATCTGAGCTGGCAGAAGTACAGTCACAGAGAAGTCTCCTATCTTTTCCAGTTGACATATAAAAGCAATACAAAGTGTACAAAACATGACACAGAGCACTGCAAAGTAAATCAGAGTGACAAAGTAAACCATGCTCACAAGGGACCATTTATGTGCATCAGCTTGTTCTGGATAAATAAACGTATAGTGAAAGGGGACAAGCAGACAAACAGAGAAAACTCCATAGGGCTCAGATTAGCCAGTTCTCAATGTTGTACTTCTCTTCAGTTTTGCATTCTGAGGCTTGTCTGTGCTTGCACAGGGAATACTTCCAACGTACATTTTCATTATAAATAATGGGTACTGACTGGACTTTAAATCTTCTCTGTTTCCAGAACTGAATTGTGAGGCTCCGAGAGCCCCTGAGTGACTGCAATTTCTGTCTTCAACAAAAAAATCTCAAAGGAAATGCAGGAATGCCTGTTTTAGAAAAAGACATGCAGAAGAAGGAGAAAGATTCACGCAGTAAAGATGAGCCAGTAAGTGACTGTTTGGGGGAAAATAAAAATAAAAAAAACAAAGATATGTTACTTTTAACAGCTGACAGTAAGATTGATGCTGTACGTTATAGTAACTGTAAAGCAAACTCTGTTCTAGAGCTGTTTCCTTTATTTGGGAGAACACTAGTTATCCTGCAGCAGGTTACTATCAGGAACTAACAGTGGTGTTCCCATGTCCACAAAAACTATTGCTCCCTACATCCTTTGAGGAAAACTAGGAAGTGAAAGGTTCCTATACAACAGATGCGCTACAATGCAGTCAGAAAAGGCTTATAATTATTTCTTAATAGTACAGAACTATCAGACTATCATAAATCATTTGCAAGCTGGTTCAAAAGATGTCAGATGCGCATGCCTCTCATTAGTCATCTAAGCCCCTGAAGTTTAAAGCCTTTTTCCTAAGCAGAGCCATGAAATGTGCAATAGCCTTATCAGAAAGGAAGGGCCAAATTCAGGTATTAAAAAGAAATGTGACGCATTTATTTCCTCTGACTGAGGAATGAGTGACAGAACAGATGCCCCGACTACACATAACTTGAAACTGAAAAATTACCATCTTTCTATTTCTGAGACCCAGGCTAAGCTTGGATTTGCATCCAAGTTAGAAACAGGTCACCTCATGACTCTTTTTATGAGTACCTATAATCTTTACTTTCTAGATAGGGAAAGGATAGCTCAGCACTGACTTGTCTGTGGAGGTCACAAGGCAGAGCTGGGACTTGAGCTCAGAGGACACCCACTACCCTCCTCATGCTTCTTTGGAGCATATGTGCCACCCTTCTCCCTCCCTGCATGCAGTGGCACAGCAGTTGGCAGCTTGCCTTGCTCTGAGCAGCAGGTAGGATGAGGTGAGGCCCAGACGTCCCTTCTAAATGAAATCATGCTGTGGTCCTGCAATCCCTTGAAAATCGAACTTGCTTAAGACCTTGGGATGGCACACCTGCAAACCTGGCAGGCATAAAAGGATGCCTGAGAGGGGCCCTGTGCCATTGGTGTTTGCCACTTTGAGACAACAACCTCTGGACAAGTGTTCTCAGCTCCTCTCCCCACCGTCCCTCCTCCAGTGCCAGCAGGCCTGGTGCTGGAACTCAGCTCTTCAAAACGGAGTGGTGACCTTTCCTTTTTCTCCTGTCTGTCCATCTTTCTCATTCTTTCTGTTTCTCTCAATATTGTCTTTTTGTTCTGCTTCTCTTGTAGCTTTGTTAAGTAATTGCAAGACATTTCAGTTTCTTAGGGCTGTATAGTTTAGTCACACAGTTTAAGGTAGATGTCAAGTTAAGAATGCTGATCTTCTAAAATCGTACAGTTTAGCTGCGCAGCTAAGACATTTAATTGTTACAATGTCAATATTTTGGGATAATTGTAGTTTATAAATTCTCACTAAAATTGATTGCATTCTGCATATAGTTTTACCTTAATCAGAATTAAGCAGTAATTAATACAAGATTATTCACAACTCTGGTCACTTCTTCCCTAACAAGAGTAGCATGACAGGTCTATGCTAGTTACGAACAGAAAAGCACAGCTAAATGACGTATCACCCAGCTGAAAAGTTAACTGCCATGCCTATCTCCTTCAGGAATGATGTTTAGAACATCAGACCCTCTTACAATTTCCTGGCTTTCATGGATTACTTCATAGCTTGATTTTCCACTGCCCCCAAATTCCTCTGACTTTTAAATGACTAGTTACACTTCACTTAGTTAATTCTACATTAAAAAAAAAAAAAAAAATCCTAGTTTCCAGGCCTATCAACGAAATGTTCAGTGGCCAAAGGACTACTAGAAAGGTAGCACCACTTCAGTATTTGTACAACTGTATACTGTGTAGTAAAATTCAGGTGCTTCTTGACCTAGTGAAACTCCACTGAAGTCACACAATTACATTTGCAGTGATCAGGCATCTCAACTGCTACAATAGAATTAATGGATTCAAAGAGGGATGCAATATATTTATCAACAACAGAGCTGTCATAAGCTACAAAATGCAATGGCCCTAACCTAAGTCTCCAGCCTGTTCTAATCCACTGCTTGTGGGGAGGTGCAAGAACATATATATCCCACTGCTGGACCTCACTAGATTCTTGTCCATTTCATAAATATGTGATACTGACCGCTGTAGGAGTCTGCAGGGTTGGGCAGACATTGGTTTCAGCCCACAGATTCAGCCATTCTGGTACATACTGGCCTGACTTGGCAGATCCTAAATCAGAGGCCAGTCTAAATCATACACTACTGCAAAAACACTGTTGTGCCAGATCTGGCTGGGATGGAGTTAATTTTCTCCATAAGGGTTCATATGGTGCCATAATTCATAATTTTGTAAGTAACTGCTGGTAACACACCATTATTTTAGGCTATTGCTGAGCAGTAGTTGCACAGCATCAAAGCTTTCCTTTTTTTCCCACTTCTCCTCAGCAAGTAGGCTGCAGGTAGGCAAGATGCTGGGAAGGAAGGACTTAGCAGGGATAGCTGACCCAAACTGACTAAAGGGAGTTTGCACTGCATTCTATTACACGCAGCGTCATGCACAGCAGTTTGAGAGCAGATAGCTATTGCTTTGGAGACTGTATGGGCGTCAGTCAACTTGTGGGAGGTAGTGAGTGATTGCCTGCATCTGTTTTTTCCCTTCTTTTCTCCACTTAATAAGCTGTCCTTGTTTTGACCCAAGAGTTTTCTAACTTCTGGTCTTCTTGTTATCTCCCTCTACCACTTAGTTGAAGGGAGCAAGCAACTGGCTGGGGCCAACCCACCACAGCAGTGTATTTAATATTCACTTTGCCTATCTAGACAAGAACAAAACAGGACAGTTTAGGAACAAGTACAATTACTTACTAGTTTGATTTTTTTGTAATGCTCAGGCAGTGCCTAAACTTCCAGTCCCACCACTACAACAGACCTTACAGATGTACCTACGGTGCATGAAACACTTGGTGCCAGAAGAGCAATTTAGAAAGACCAAGAGTGTTGTGGAGCAGTTTGGAGTTGCAGGAGGCCTTGGGGAATCCTTGCAGCTAATCCTCGAGGAAAGAAGGGAAAAGACAACAAACTGGGTAAGCAAACGCAGATTAGAGAAATAATTGCTGTATTTGAAGTTTACAAACCATTTGTGATGTTGTATGATGTTGTGTATGTGATAACTGCTTTCTTTTAACAGGTCTCTGCAAAACAGGGATCCCATCTGATTCTACCAAAGGGAATGAATATTTCAGACATATTAGGCTAAGGTTTGCAAGCAATGACAAAATCCACACCATTACATTTGTTACATTTTCAGGTCAACAGTTTGTTGAGATAATTAATTGAGAATTAATGAGTCTCAGAATTCATGTGACAGTGTAGGACATAAGTCCTGCAGAATCATAGGATGGCCTAAGTTGAGAAGGACCACAATGCTCATCCAGTTCCAACCCCCTGCTGTGTGCAGGGTCGCCAGCCACCAGACCAGGCTGCCCAGAGCCACATCCAGCCTGGCCTTGAATGCCTCCAGGGATGGGGCATCCACAGCCTCCTTGGGCAACTTGTTCCAATGTGTCACCACTCTCTGGGTGAAAAACTGCCTCCTAATATCTAACCTAAGCACTACATTACATCCTTTTTGGATGTTGCTAGCTTTTCTGCCCAATAACAAGATTCAGTTTTTTAGTCATATGAAAAATGAACTCTGTAGGGCTGTATAAAAAACACCTGAGTCCATCTAGCCATAGCCCACTGCGGTCAAACCATTCCAGAATGCAATACTTTAGGATAGGAATTACCCTTTTAAGTAAGACTGTTGTTTGACATTCATTGTCACAGCGTACTATATGTAGTTACTCTGAAGTATTTTCCTTGTAAAATGTACACACACATACTTATATGTAGCACATAGGCAAGGCCAAGACCTCAGCCTTCAAGAAAGTCTAGGTCTCTTCTTTGCAAGACAGGCAAATTAAACAAGCCATAGATTCCATCATTCCACAAAATTACGGTTTGTCCTGCTTGCATTTGCCATGTAAGAATATATAGAAAGACAACCTCTGTATTGAAGTCCTTCCATCCCAGCAAGGAAAAAACACTCAGTGGTTTCACGGATTTCGTGATATCTTGCAGACTTGCTACCGCATCAGTGAAGTGTTTTTTTCCCTAAGCTCATCTGCTGTGTTACCCCTAGAAAACCTGACAAACTGTTTCTGTCAGAAGTAAAGGCTACAGTGCTGGCAGTGCTTTTAGTTTAAAAGCACTGCTTAATATCTATTCTAGCTGTTTCCACAATCTGAGGGCTTCACCAAATATAGTCCAATTTCATATTCTTATTTGGATCACAGAACTTCGTAGTTTTCACAGCTAACTTAACAATTTGTTAAATGGCATTCCTGTTAACACCAAGAGAAAACTGGTTATTTAACCACCTACAGCATAAAACTTACCGAAGGAAGATGTATAAGTATTTTCTGAAACATCTCAACCTTAAATACTGCTTATTAAAATTAAATATCTGATTCTTAAGATAATCTAAAAGCACTTTCACTTGCAATGTAACTTGCCAGGAGTACAGCTCTAGTCTGTTCTCTCCTGAAGGCTCCAGAGACTGTGGGGGAAGCATCTGTTCTAACAGCAATGAAATATCTCAGAGGAAAACTTTTCCAACTGATGCATGCATCTGTAATTATTTTTGCATAATTTCATTGTTATGTATAGTTACTGTATGCAAAATACTCTGACAGACCATTTCATCTTTTTCTTTAGGAAATCCTCCATTTTCCAAACAATGGTTCTTTAAACCCTTTTCAAACATAAAGGCAGGCTGTAAACATACATCTGTTTTTAATAAAAATTGTTTGAAATGTATGTCTGTCTGGATCAAGCATCAGTAATTTGCATTTGTGTCAACGGACACAGAGGGAATCCTCCAGAGGCCCTGTTCACATGCCAGTATCTGCAGGGCCGAGCCATTAGGCTCACCAAAATTCTTTTCTCAACTCCGTCCTGCATCAGGATGCTCTCTGATAGCTAACAACAGAGCATCTGGGTATTACTGACAAACATTACTGACAAACTTGGATGAATGCTTCCATCAAGTAAAATTCTGCCTGCCTCTTAAATTTATCCCAGTCGCTATTCAGGAGTTATAGTGTCGTACTCAAATACATTTTTCCTGTAGAGAGAAGCAAACAACATACCTAAACCACCACAATAAGGGGCTCATTTGCTCTTTAATGGAACACACTGTAAATTGCCATTGATTGAAAAATAGGATTATAGAATTGCGGCTGATTTCAGCTGAGCTGAGGTCACAGAGCCCAGGCTGAAAATGCTCAGTGGCTCCATTAATCAGATCCCATGCCTGACACTGGGGGCACCAAGCACCCCCACCCTGACTGCCTCTCTACAGCTCACTGCTAGCTTTAAGGCTGCACGTCTCTTTCCTTCTAAGGCTGTGTGTCTCTTTCCCTCCCTCAGGTGTTTAACTACTGGCTGGATGACATGTACCTCAACAACCGGTTGGCTCTTCCAGTCAACTCCAGCCCAGCAATTATCTTTGCTCGTCAGAATTTCAAAGATGTAAATGACCAGCTAAGGTAATGCACTAAGACTTTGCAATTTTTGCTAAATGAATGAGTATTTAAAATACACAGCTTTTGCAAAAGGACAATCAACTTTCATTTAAAAAAATAAGGGCTGTAACCACTAAATGATTTCCCAGGAGAACTGGATTTACTCATACTGAGATCCAGAAATAAATGTGTCATTACTGTTATGTTTATTGCCTGGAAAAAATAAAAATTAAAAAAAAAAAAAAAAAAAAAAAAAAAAAAGAAAGAAGAAGGAGGAAAAAAAGGCATAGCATTTATCATCTTTTTAAAGAAATACTTGCAAGGTGTTTCATTGTATAATTCAAGTAAACCTTTTCCTGATAGGAACAAGAAATACTAATTTCTGACACGTATAAAGGAAAGCAATCTGTAACAAGCCATCACTACAATACCTACCCACCTTGCAAATTGAAACTCTCACGTTAAGTTGTCTCTGCCAGGTGCCCAAAAGGGTGCCAGAAAGACAGGAGATCTAAGAACAAGAGTTCAGAAGTCATTCCTCCCCAGCAGCATGGCTTCTCTCCAGCCCATCTTTCCTGAGTTGTCTTTTCTCCTTTGAACTGTTATGGGAAATTACAGTCATTTCCAAAGGGAAAAGGTAGACAAGTAGCCAAGCACAAAATATACCTCTCCAGGCACCCATAGAACACAGTTCCATTTTTCAGCTTTTACCGAAACATTTTCTCCTTTTACACACTAAACCAGATCAAATCCATTTTCATATAGCACAGTGTTCCTCTTTGCTTTTAGCACTCTCAAGCTGCTCATTACTTAAAGAATTAACTGCTTGTGAATTTATGCTATTATAAAACAGCCAGCACCCTGAAGACGATTTGTTATTTTCACATTTTGCAAAGACAGCCAGTGTATCTCTTTACTTTAAACACAACTATAAATGCTTCCATTCATTACTGACCAAATTTATTGTGCACGCAGCTTTCTAAAAACTTCTGTTTTGCATTTTCTAATGCACGTGTTTTAATGAGGAAATATTTTTCTCAGAGCTGCCCTTTCACACAGCACAAACAGCAGTGTCAGGAAATAATACACATGTCTACAGCACCGTAGAAAGAATATCTCCTTAGGAAAGGAAGTACTCTAATAAATTGGACAGCTTATGAGTATAGATATCGAAACCCACATTAAGGATTCTATTAGATATTCAGCCTCTGTTCCCATTCTCTAAATAAATGCTTCCAGGCTTGCTACTCTGGTAATTTAACCATTTGAAGGGACCATCTCTAGGATTTCATATTTCTCTTGACATTAATTCATTTAGGTTTTGGCCGTAGGCAACGGGCTTCTATTGCCAAGCCAGAGGACTTTCTTCCTTATGCTGTGTCATCAATCATTCAGGCTCTCCTCTGTCCCTCAGAAACCGTCCAGTGTCACTGAACGACAAAAGACTGATGGCAATTCTATCTGTTACTTGCAGGTTTGCTGCCAATCTTATTTCGGGTGTGCAAGACTATAAAGCTTTACTAGACAGGTAAGTAGCTTGGAAGGGGAGCTGCTGTTGGACTATCTACAGGGCTTCTGATTCAAGGGTGCTCTAACATGCCCAAAGCCAGGCTGCATCACACCTCACCAACATTTGGAAGGGCTGGGGCTCTGGCATGGCTGCTTCAGGGATTCTTTATGTCTTTCTGCTTTATTACTGCTTGGGGAAGGATGCTTTTTGACACTTGGCAGTCATCGCTTGCGCAGCACAGCCTAAAGGGCACAGACAACCTGTCTAACAGAACTAGTGAGTACACACCAGGAGGGGTGTGCTCCCAAGGAGCAGCAGCAGAGCAGTAATACAGCCTGCACACCCTCCCCAATACTGACCACCTGCTAGAATGCCATACCTGCTATGTATGAACCTCCCGTTCAGAACATCAGCCCCTCTCATCACCCTCAAAATAAAAGAAATAACACATTTCACCAGAAAAAAGAAGCCTCACCACAGACTGTTTGCTTCAGTATGTGACAAAAATTTAAAAGTTCCATATTCTATTGATGCTTTCTGTGTATAAACACAGGATGAAAATCCATTATATTTTAAGTCATGAGGTAGCTCAGAGCAGCTTGTGACAACATGTTACGTTTTTCAACCTCACTTAGCGTGTTCCAAGTTCACTGCCTACTGAAGAGCAGAAGTAGTAGAGAGCCAAGGACAACAGACACTGCCTTGTAAGTGGAGAAGGGATCATTTTCCTGACTGGAAATACAACAGGCCAACATGGTATTCTATAACCAATGCTTATTTAGATGAGGAAAACAAAATCCGTATCTTGTATGAACCAGAAAAAAGAAAAAGAAGGTGAAAGGGTTGCTTGATTTTTCACTTCAGAAGTCTAACAACTGCTCAGAAAGTATGGAAGAAGTACTTATCTAAGATGTGGTTTTGTCCAAGGTATGCAATGAAACCACACAGACCACTGCAGATGTGTGATGAGGTACTATTGCATATTAATGTACTTCACTGCATCTTTATATAACAGCGTCTGTGATAAGAAGCCACTTTGCTCAACCAAAGAATGATCTACATTCTGATTATTCAGGTCATACTGCACAAGAGCCAAAGACTCCTGCTATCAGATTTGCTTCCCTTAGATCGATAATCATTTAAGTTCTCAGTGGAGTATCCCTCATGTTGTTAGTAGCAGTTGCTCTTCAGCCCTTCTGTAAGATTATGAGGACACCATACTTGTAACATTTTTAGCTCCTCCTTGCTGTTAAGGACTTACACCAGTGAGTCTACCTCTATCTTCTCTTGGGTCATCCTACATGTAGAAGCACACAATCCCAAACCCAGGTGTTTAGTTTTAACAGTGCAGATATTCCATGCAATTGCCAGGATAAAGTCTTTCAAAGCAAGCCTAACTTGCTCCCATAAGACAGTCATAAGATCTTAGACATCTAAATCAGTATAAGGTTTTTCAGCCTCATCAGTCAATGTCAATAATCCCTTTCTTAGCTGCTGCAAATACAGATTGTCTAATCTAAATCTACCACACTAATTCATTATTTGTGAGCATCATAGATGCTTTTTAAATCTCTTCAGTACTCGTGCTAAATAGTGTGTTAAATAGGAGATTTCTGCATTATACAGAATGTGGGAGAAGTGAAATACTAACAAACCTGTTTTTCTGATGAGAAAGAAAAAATGTTAAGCAGCTGTTCAAGGAAGTTAAGTGATACAGAGACTTCAACAGCCAGGAACTGAAATGCATATCCCTGGTTTAGAACTGCAAAAGTTCTAAAAAAGGCTGTCAAACAAGATAAAATAGCATAAGATGTTACACTGCACTAGCTGCTTGACCATAACCCTCCTCATGTGCTGCTTTCATAGAATCATGGAATTATAGAATGGCCTAGGCTGAAAAGGACCACAATGACCATCTGGTTTCAACCTCCTGCTACGTGCAGGGTCATCAACCACCAGAGCAGGCTGCTCAGAGCCACATCCAGCTTGGCCTTGAATGCTTTGCTCTGGTCCCTCTCTGGCAGGCCTGAAGCTTTGTCTTCTTGCTGAGGGAAAACCTCTACATCACAGCATCTTCTTCCCCCTGTGGTTTCTGCAACCTCTCCTGAGTGGCAGCACCATTATTTCTTGATGCAGTGTCAGTGAAATATTTTACAATCCATAGCCATAATTGTGATAACACTTTTTTTTTCTTGCCACTAAAGAAGCCTTTTAGGAAGTGTGGTTTCCACATACTTTCCATTAAAGAGGGAATGGCGTTTTCAGCATTTATTTCCCCACAGATGTGAGTAATGATTAGCACATAAGTGGCGCTCTCTGGAAAACAGATGTGACTTCTGCATTGCCCCAGTCATTTCTGTTCACCAGGTGCAGACCTAGGGTCTGAAGGTACACCTTCTCTCACATGCTCAGTGCAGGGCTGCTGCCACTTGCACTGAATTTCATCAGTACTTTACTTTTTAAGGTGCTACATTTTTTCCAGCTGTTCTGTTGCTGCTGGCTTCTGTCTGGGCAAGTTTCTGGGGTCCCTTCTTGGGAGGCTTCCATTGCAAAGCTGCTCCTGATGTGCTTTTTTTTTTTTTCCATTTGAACTAGATGATAATGCAACTGCCTAATGAATATGCATGAGGCTGCCAGGAATGATATATTTAACTTTAGTATAGGAATTCATCTATTTCCCTTATACTGTAATCTCATTTTATTATTCAATTTGTGTTATACCTGATCTAATTGTAACAGAACAAAGGACAGATTAGATTTCTTTTCCTTTCTGTCTCTCTCTCTCCCCCCTCTCCCCTCTTTTTCTCTGGCTTTGTTTTCCTCCTTCTCTCTCTCCAGCCATGCTTTACCTGTTGATTTTGCTCGTGGACAGCTGTCTGGTCAGCCTCTCTGTATGAAGCAATACTATGGACTCTTTTCTTCCTATCGTCTTCCAGGACATACCAAAGACACCCTTGTGGCCCAGAAAAGCTGTGTAATGCCAGAACCAGAGCACATCATTGTTGCTTGTAACAATCAGGTAAATGGGTGTTCTCTTATAATACCTTTCTATTTTTCTTACTTTCTTTAAATTCACTCAAGAAGAGTTTGATCTAATTACTGTTCAGAAACACAATTAGCGTGCTATGTATGAGCTCTCTTCTTACCAAAGACTCACTGTCAATGTTTCCAAAAGATGCTTCTGCAGCATTTTTGTCCCACATTATGTTCCAAGCACAATGATGCAGAAAAGAGGAATGTGGCAGAATTCATTTGCTTTTTCACTGAAACAAAAATGTTTATTAAACAGAGAAGAAACCACAGAGGAAGAAAATCTTATTAGAATGCATTTGCTGGAAATGTTCTTCTTTTGACAGTCAAGTCTTGGCACACAATGCATGACATACATACCACCTGCTCTTGCAGGGGGGACTAATCTATGCCTGCAGAAGTTAGCAGAGGAGCAGGCAGAAATATTAAAGCATTAGAGTGAGTCTGTCCCAACCAGTAAATCCCCTCTGGCTGCAGAGTACATGGCCTGGGCAGAGTACCATATAACTCAGCCAATGTGTAATGCTGGAGCATACTTTGCCTGCAGCCCCCCTTTGAATAAAGGGCTAGATCTTAGCAAGCCCCTTTCCCAGGAAGTCCTGCTCTTCACCTCAATAGGAAGTTCTCTAGGTTCATTTTAAACAAATAATATTATGCAAATTATTTACGTGCTTTGTGGTTTTATCTCCTCAGGTGCTTTTTAGTTTATTCATATAGCAAATGTTTTGAGTCCAACACAATCGTGCAAGTCCCCTACAACCATTGTTGTCAAAGCCCAGCAGTGCTGAGAAGTAATGTTTTTGTTCTCTGTGGTCCTCAGGCCTGGCTCTCTAGGCAGACTTCAGCACATCAAGGACACGCAGTGAAGGCAAAATGCCAGACAAGTAATGGTCCAACTCACCTGTGACTGTTCTTCTGACTTCTTTTTTTGCAGTTTTTTGTTTTGGATGTTGTCATTAACTTCCGTCGTCTCAGTGAGGGAGATCTTTTCACTCAGTTACGAAAGATAGCCAAAATGGCAGAGAATGAAGAGGAAATGCTGCCTCCAATCGGCTTGCTGACGACTGATGGAAGAACAGAGTGGGCAGAGGCCAGGACGATCCTTATGAAAGGTTAGCAGCAGCAATCCCAGCTTTCTCTTCTTCATCTTCTTGCTCCTCTTCCTCCTCACCATCATTGCCTTTCTTTGCTGGGAGTGAACCTTACAGCAAATATAAGACTGAATGTGCAGCCTCACTGCTGAATTTGTCTGGCAGGAGGAATCTGAATACTTGTAATCATTCAGATGGACGTTACAAGGAAAGCAGCAGATACGGTTTGACCTTATGGCTGTGTACCTTTAAGTATTACTCCATGTAAGCAGTGCTCGCCTCATTCTCTGTTCTTCATCACATAAATTGCATTACATCTGATTTTGTGATTTGTCTCTTTCTTCATATCCATTACATACCAATAGGAATGATGTACCCTCTTAGCTTTTGGCAACTCTTAGAAATATTTTATCTTTTCTAACAAAGGCATGTAAAAGTGGAGCAATTATTGAATCTAGCTGTGCACTCTCTTTGGTCATTGGAGAAAGAAATTATCAAGACTCATTTACTCAAATCTTAAGTCAATATCTAAGAGAGGTGACAACAGTCATTTTCTGTGACTAGTTACCTCTCTCTTCCAACAATAGGCAACAATTAGCTGTCCTAGATGCTGGCCTTTGAAACATGAAAATAAACAATGGCATCAGTCACTTCTATTGCTTTGCATATTATAAATTTCACCTTGAGGCCAAGTGACATAAATGCTGTATTTTTGCTATTTTTTGTGACTTTGGTATTCATCTCTTCTGTGAAAAATTTTAAACCTTTACCCCCAATTTAGCAATGCTGTTGGAAAGTTTTCTATTTCACCAATACCCTGGAATATACGAGAGCTGCCAATATTCTCAAAATAGTTTTTTTTAATCATCTCAAGAAGACCTTCCCTTTTCTTGTTCCCAGTTTCCTGTTCTTACAATGATGTAAGATAGATGTTATCTATAGAACTATATACACCTACTCATAGATTAACAGTAGACATTACAGCTTAACAGTAGACACCAGATATAACAGTAATTCTTCTGTAAGGCTACAAAGCCTAGAAATGGTGAGAGGTTATTAAAATTCTCACTGATGAATGATACCAGAATATATAAACCAGAAGATTCTTTGCCCTTCCTAGAATCCACATGGGAAACACAGATCTTATATCCCATAGTGCTCTCCTAAGCTGAATGTCAGTTTGCATCACAGTAGCTTAAAGAAAGGTAATGGAGAAAATATTATGACTTTTTTTTCCTAGTAAAATAACAAGCTCCCAACCCGGAGCAATTCACAGTGGAGGTCACTCCCTACGCACATGAATGTTAGTGCTGATGAATTCTAGTGTGTGTGCACTCACAATGAAGAAAGCTCAGAAATATTGCCTTGTTAGACAGTTGACTCAGAGGCAGCTTCTGTCTAATCTTTGTTAAAGCGATGAGACCCATTCTGTGAACAGGGAAATTAGATATTCAGAGCTGCAAATTTTGACATAATTCATCAGAGCTAAAATGCATTTGCGTCCAAGAATCTCACCTCTTTGGATTGGCACTGGACATTATTCCTCCAAAATGCTTAGCAATCATTTAATTCTCTGAGATCGTCATTTTCTTTTGAGCCCATTAATTCTGCACAGCCAGACTCTGTCTAACTGTTTAGCTGCTGTTGTTGTCAAACCTCCTGCTAGCAGAGCTCTCACTATCAGGAGTTCCACACTTCTCTGTTCGCCCATTCAGCAAAACATTTGCTTGTTGTACTTCCCAAATAATAAGCAGAATAAAAAGGTCCAATTTATCTGAAAGAAATATCCCAAAATGGCAGACATGGTGTGGTTAAGTCAACATCACAGGGGAGCTACACAGCAAGTAACTTAGAATGTTAGCCAAGGCTAGAAGATGAACCTTCAAAAACTCCAGCCCCTGTTGGTGCGCTTCCCCACATCTTACTCCTTGAAGAGCTGAAAACCATGCAGTCACCATTCTGCTCCTGCCACTGTATGTGCAAATTCAGATTTGCATGCATTTTCCTGGTGGAGTCCAGCTCCTGATGACACAAGAAAGTGTTACCCAAGTAAAAGCCAGCCCCTCTATCTGCATTAGCATCTGCTGCCCTTAAAGATGATAGTCATAATTTTGAACAAACAGCATTAAAACTCAAAACTACCTCCTCTCTTTTCTTCTCCTACTCAGTTCAATATTTAAATGTTTTGATATACAGATACTGTGAATGACGTAAAGGAAAAAACTGATTGTACAATTCAGAATTCTCTTCTGAATGTTCTTTCTAACCAGAGAATATTTCTTCAGGGTCGTAGTTTCTCTGAGATCATGAGTGCTGACACGTCATCAGTAGTGTGAATTAATGTGGAACTGAAGTCAGTGTCCAATTTCTTCACAAAACATTACATATCCTAAAATCCTATATCACAGGGATTCTTCATGGCAGAAATGGCGGTTGGAGCTGATGATCCTTGAGGTCCTTTACAACCTAAGCCATTCTTTGATTCAAGCCATTCTGTGAAATTCATTTCATGTATTTTTAAAGAACAGAGGATTTCCAGCTAGTTGTGGTCTCTCTAGAGGTTGATTTGTATTCTAATCAATAGATACATAAGATGAATACCTAAGCTCTATTTTGGATGGTAATCATCATTAAAGTTGTAACCACTGAATTCCACAGAAGTATTCCAATGAAATATCACCAGCTGCAACAAGCCTGTAGTCAGAGCCTTAGAAAATGGAAGCATTAAAAAAAAAAAAAGCACAACAACAAATAACCTCGCTTTCTTTAGATCATAAACATTTTACCTTCATCATATGCCTGCTCATTTTATTCTCATGTCCATTTCTTGTTTCTGATTTCCACTCACTGTACATGTTTAGCCTAGGTTAAAAGACAACAGGCATCTTCCTTTCACTTATATAGCGAGGACACTCTTTCCATTTCACACCTACCATTTTATCTCTTTTTACTGCCTTGCACTCACATCAAATAACTCATCCTTTGATTACAATGTACTTCTAGCAAGACAATAAAATTACTAGTTGTTATAACAAATACCAAACTTGCAGTCAGTGAACTCAATTTTGTGAGTCAGTGAATTCAACAGAGTAAATCCAAAGCCAAAAAGAGTAGTGATTTTTCACCACTGTATTAATCCATGCTAGTTTCTCTGTTACTTGGAACTGAAAAGTTGTCTACACAGACAGTAATTCTGTGAGGCAATTTCACTGTGCAGAAAGCAAAACAAAATGAGATTTTTAAACGTAGTGTTATTTGTTTTTCACTGTCTAAGCTTGTAATGTGATACAGGTTTCATCTTCAGGCTTTTTTCTCTTCATATATATATATATATACATCCTTATGTATGTATATCCTGTATATATTTAAACATATATATATATATATATATTTAAAACAGGAGAAAGGAAGATTCCTGTATTTTAATGAAAGCCCAGGTAAACACCTAATAATTTATTTTCAGGGCACACTTTCAGGTAAAACAGTGAATACCTTCACACTTGCAGCTAAATAATGTTTGCAATCCATCATCATTGTAAGGGGAAAAAAAAGCAAAAAAAAAAAAACAAACAACAAAACTAGTGAAACTTGCTATGTTGTTTCTGGATTACTTGGCATTTGTCAAACTATTCATTTCAGTGATGAAATTAACCAACTTAGTTAAGCAGCTGAAAAAAAAACCCAGGTTCTTCAGTAGTGAATATTACAGCACAATTGCAATGGTTCTGCACTGGGCAAGGAAAGACAGGGCCACTCAGGAATGAATACTTGAACTTGCAGAGCTTATAAAGGGGACATATACATGGATCTGCATAAACCCATTAGCAGAGGATAGGTCTTCTAAGAAGGTTTCGAAGGAGCAGTGCACAGGTTGCTCTGAAAGTAATGCCCCCTATTTATTTCATAGAAACAAAGAGAAAAATAATGCTGTCTAATGGAGCAAATTCTCAGCTACAAAACACTATTTTCACCATAGTCAGCAGCATTAGCTATGTTTTTTTGCCAGCAATGAGCAAGAGCCTGCTGAAAAATCTGCATGGCCATCCAGGACCCATCTTTCACATCACAGTTGCCACTGCTGAAACACATGAGCCCATGGCCTCACTGTACTCACATCCCCTGTTAGGTCCCTGTAAATGCTCAGAAAGCATCGATGAATGTCAATGACTGCCATCTTTTTCCACGTGGATGAATTCAATTCCACACCTTAGCTTCATACACACTTCCATGTCGGACGCCATTCTGTCAGAATGCCCCTCTGCTGCCATCTGTCACACAGCAACAGCACATAATGGAATACTGATGGGAAGGTTCAACCTGTACTGCCATCCCACCAACATCCACCTCTGATGCCGTGAGTCAATATAGAAGAGGAAGAGACATTACTTTTGAAGCAGCCTTCCTAATGATCCCAGCAACTGTTGTTTTACAAACACAGTGAGTGTTTTTACTGCACTCAGACTGCAGAACAAACCCAAACTAACCTTCAAAGCAGAGGACGTGAATTCATACAGCAATAGGGGCTGCTATACTTTGAGTATCACATCTGAATTTGATCCAGATCTTCTCCTTTTTTTTTTTTTTTTTTTTTTTTCCCCCTTTTTAATCCCAAAACCCCAACAAAGCAAAAGCTGATTGGCCAAGTCAGTTATGTGCATTAGAAAGAACCAAAGAAAAGAAATGTCTTCCAGGGGTTCAGGTGTTACTCTGGTCCCTTCTACTCAAGCTATTGTATGGTCTTCGGATTCAACTCTTTCTGAAATATTTATTTTGCATCCCAAGTCATGGTTCATGAGTTCTTGTGCAGTTCATTGTCTGCTCTATGTGATAATTTTGTCTGTGTTTGATCCATTCTCTGAGTATATTTTTTCTTGAAAGAACATCTTTTCACTACTTTTCTGCTTTTAACAGATCTGATCTGAATTTTATTCACTCTAATACCTAGAGTCAAGCTACCCTGAAGTCATATGTCAGAAAAAGGGCTTTGTGTCTGTCAATGAAGTGTGGGCAGCAGCCACAATGCACTATCTATAAAGTCATCAGATAACAGAAAGCGAGACACTGATCAAATTGTGAGCAGTTTGTAAATCACCACCCAGATTTTCCTCTAGGTGCCTGTCCACAAATACCAGCAGCTAAGATACACAGTGCAACTTCCATTCATGCAGATCTTCTCAGTCTTTGCATCTGTGGACTCAGAGCATCAGTGGAATAAACACAATTACTCTCAGCCCAGTAAGTGTCATATACTAAAAGAACTTTATGGCCAAGAGCACAGGGAGACATATCAGTCTTCTGAATGCCTTTGAAGACAATTCACAGAAGCATCAGTGTTCTATGTGATGTGGGGAGACAGACCACCAGCATCTGGTGCAGAAAGTTCAGGCTACCCACGTACCCCATAAGTTAGACCAACAGATATCATCTTTCCATAACCTGTAAGAGGTCACAGCCCTCTTCTTCCTTCAGAGCACTGCTATCTCTTATCTTTCCTTTTCTCACATTTGTGCTCTTTTCCACTATACTGCATCTGACCCTGGAGGATATCAAGCACATATTTCTTTCCAGCTCCTCACTAACCAACATCACTCATTTCCAAAGGTACATTTTTTTCTTGTTTTGAAACATGCTTTCCATATTTGCAAAACCTAAACATACGTACATTTTGAAATTGCTCTACCCATAGAAGCAAGTGAGATAGGACAAGAAAAAGAAACAGAAGAAGTTAGAAAAGTAGTATATTATTCAGAAGCACTCAACTGATAGAGGGGAAGTGAAAGGTAGCAACATGCAATTTGAACAGTACTATGACCAAAAATTAAATCTCACAGCCTGATTGATGGATGTTTCTTTTCCCATGTGATAATGGCAACATACTCAATCCAGAGATTATTTACTTTGCAAAAATAAAACATCAATGACAGGAAACAGAAGGTTTTAAATGCAACAGCAGCATTCTGTACTGTTCCTTGTCCTGAAAAAAGTTTTAACATGAAAACAGCACGAAAACAGCATGGGTCCTACTGCTCCATAGCAGAGCAGTGTGGCACAAGCACTTGAAACTCTCCATTTTGCACCTTTCCTCTCTCTCACTGTTATGTACAGATCAAGTAACCTTCCTTTGCTTACAGCAAATGAGAAATTCAGAAAACTAGAGGCAGAAAAAGAAAGTGAATATTATTGAATCGCATGAAAGAGTCACAGAAACAATTTAAAACATGAATTAACGTCTTGATGTAATGTTTCCTTGCACCGAGTTTATACGCTGCTGATCAGAGCAGCAGTCAGGTCAGATCATTAATACTGCCCAAGCCTGCAAGGTTCCTGGCCAGTCCTGCACTACAGGTAAGAATAGGTGAACGTTTTGCTCTTTTATCCCTAGACTCCACTAATCGCGACTCTCTTGACATGATTGAACGATGTATTTGCCTGGTGTGCCTGGACAGCCCAAGCGGGGTGGAACTCAACGACACAAACATGGCGTTGCAACTGCTACATGGAGGAGGCTACCATAAAAATGGTGCCAATCGTTGGTACGACAAACCTATGCAGGTAAAAACCTTACAGTACTATGATATTGCACACGGTGAAGATCTCCAGTCATCTCTGTGGAAGGGAACACTTGGAAGCACATAGGGAAGAGCTGGAAGTGATGTCAGCATCCAATAAGGCAAGGCTGGGGCAGAGAGCAGAGGGAGAGGGAAATGAGAGGGAAATGAAGGAAGGACCACAAAACAGGTAAAGAGGAAGGAGGGTAGCAAAGCAGGCTATGAGAAAGCTATCAAGTAAGAACAAGCTTGCTCATTTGATATGACATTTTTAATAAAATGTATCCCAAGGAGAACTCCTGGGTAAAATGTTGCATTGCTTTCAAATGAAGCAGAACCTTACGCTGTTGTGCTGGGGTTTTTTTTGGCAACTGGGGTTTTCTTTACCATAAAGCAGATGATAAATCCAATTTCCAGATTCCAAGGGATTTTACTGAAGTTCACATTTTTATGAGACTCAGTTCAGCATGAAAGGGATCCAGCACAATATCATTCACAGAACAAGACGGTCTCACACTATAAGCATCTGCAAGTCAAGGAAGTACCTGGTGTGAGCAATAAGAAAACCACAGAAGAATGACAACATCACTTTTTAGGTTGCTGTTGGTAACATACCCCCAGCATGATTTGTTCATCACATGTCTTGCAGTTTGTGGTAGGAAGAGATGGAGTCTGTGGCACCGTGTGTGAACATTCCCCTTTTGATGGCATCGTACTGGTGCAGTGCACAGAACACCTGCTCAAGCACATGTGAGTCCCCTTTTAGTACAAGTACTGTTCTTGCTCTAGCCCCAGGAAGTTTCCAACAGCTGCGATTTCCCCTGGAGCAAAGAGCCACTAAGTCCTACTAGTAAATTACCCACTAAAAAAGCCACATTTGACAAGCAGACTGTTACCGTGACCTTAATGCCATTTCTTCCTCACGTACTAATAGGAAAGAAAGCACCAAGAAATTACTCCGAGCCGATTCAGTAAGTGAGCTTCCTGCTCCACGGAGATTAAGATGGAAATGCTCCCCTGAAATTCAGGCACACTTGGCATCATCAGCAGAAAAACTCCAAAGGTAGGACACATTCCTCACTTTTTCAGCAATGTCTGCAAGCTGGAAACTATCCAACATGGTTTGTTCAAGAATGGTTTTTCTCTCCCTGCTCCTCTTCCTCTTCCCTGAAATACCCAGCACAAGCACACATAGCATCTCCTTGCAGGACAGCACCCTTACAGGCAGGGGCTACTTCATGGTATTCTGGAATTGCACTATCATTCTCCTGTCATGTAAATATTAGGGAAGATAAACACCAAGAGGAAAAAAAAAAAAAAAAGAAAAAAAGAGTCCCATTTGCACAGGATGCAAATAATACAGGTCCTCTATTTATATGGGTGTATTTTATGGGTTTGACCTGACAAAACAGTGGCCAAGGCAATGGGAATATATATATATATATGTGGGACAGTAGACTACAACTGATTTGAATAAGCAATTTGAATTCAATAATGTTATTTGTTCACATCCAACAAATACACGTGTTGCTCCTACAAAGGTTAATTCTTCCGATGGTCTTTCCAAACTGTAAGAGATTTGCATGATCTGGGGCAGGGGAGAAAGGGCAAGGAGAGACTTTTTTTCAAATCATTTAGACCAGAAGCGTCCATTTCAGCATGCTTGCTGAAATGGAATCCTTGTAGAGAATTAACCTAGGGAGCAGACATAAAATCACGAGTCATAGAATGGCCTGGGTTGAAAAGGACCACAGTGATCACCTAATTTCAACCTGCTATGTGCAGGGTCATCAACTACCAGACCAGGCTGCCCAGAGCCGATTCCAGCCTTGCCCTGAATGCCTCCAGGGATGGGGCATCCACAACCTCCTTGGGCAACCTGTTCCAGTGTGTCACCACCCTCTGTGTGAAAGACTTCCTCCTAATATCTAACCTAAACCTCCCCATCTTAGTTTAAAACCATTTAAAACATGAACAAAAGGACTTGAGCACCGCAGTTTCACATTAAGGCTGCAGATTACAAGCCCAGTCTAGAACTCATATGAATAACTGTGACCGCTAGGAATAAATTACCAAAGGCCAGGACTGCCTGCAGAGCAGGAGCCCTCTCACCTCTGTGGGTACAGCAGGAACTGTTCTCCAGGCTTTAACTACAGTGTGAAATGGAACACGAGTCTTGCATCTCCCCCCGTTAACTGCCTCTGCTTGTTTTCCAGGATAGTAAAAAATCTGGACTTTATTGCCTACAAATTTGTGAATTATGGAAAGGAGTTTATTAAGAAACAGAAGACGAGCCCAGATGCCTACATTCAAGTAGCACTGCAGCTGGCATTTTACAGGTAAGGTTAATTCAAACCATAAGAACAAGAGAACTCACAGTTGTTTATTCAGGGTGTTCACTATTTTCTCAGTAGCCAAAAAATGCCTCCTGCATGGAAATGAATAATCTTGCCTAACAATGGTAGAACAGAAATTACCATGCAGTTCTGAGACAGAGTTCTCCTTTCTTTCATTCCATTTCATGCTCCCTTCCCTGTCACCCCACCTCTCCTTCAACATCCCTACAGTTGTCTTAGGCACAGAGAAAGAGGCAAGAAGATGTAGCAGGGATTGGAAGACAGAGGCAGGAATGAAGTCTAAGTCCCTATGTTAGAACCACCTCCTTGCCATTGTGGATAGCTTGGAAGGAAACGTGGCAATAACTCAGAGCTCATTGCATATATATGCAAGGGGTTAAGTGTCCACAGGAAAATAACACTACAACAGAATTTCAGATCAGAGTTCCTACACAAAGCAGTAACTACTTCTACTTCCTTCTCCAGAGGCATCCCAAGATTTGATAATATCTTCCAATTTCCATGGTATCAAAGTTAAAATCTGCTTTCCACATTGTCAGAACAGCTAACACGCCAGGCTAGAGATTGGTTGCATGGCTTCCTGCAGAACAGCCTATTACACAAATAATTATTTATCATGTCAAATTAAATCCTGAAGCGGTCTTTGCATAGCCAAAATGAACAGATGCCTAACACATTTTGTGTATCTATAAACATTTGTTAAACACCCATTCTCCATATTCCATTAACTGAACTCCAGCAACGGCCTGGTCCAAGATTTTCATCTGGATCTGAGCTACAATTTAAATTTCACATATTTACAAATGAAAGAAACAACAACAACAACAAACTTTATAACTGAAACTCCTGACTCAACAAGAAGTATGTAAAGCACAGTAGGTCTCCTGAAGCAAGGCATGGTAACTCCACACCTGGCTCCAAAATAAACAACAACCCGTGTTCTATTTGCAATGCAGGTTTTCATCCCAGCTCAGTCTCAAAAAAATGTGCTTTTCTCCTATTGCTTTCCTCACTGTCGCACTGAGTTTGTAAATAAAGCGTATTTCACTCCTGTGATTAATTAGACAATTATTTTATGATGCAGTACAAATAAAACATTCCTTGAGATGTTTCCATAGATTTTAGTTTTACTAGCTTTGCTTTCACACAGCAAGTAATTTTTTTTTACTGGCAATGCATAACTAAAACATGAACAGCTGTATGCAGCTCCTCATATTAGAGAGGAGTGAGCATTCATCTTTTTTAAGTTTCTTATACAATTCTATCAGCACTAAGATGAATACTATATAAAATATTAAATCATGCCTGTAACAATAAAATTTACGAAGCCCGTGTTTCTTTTAATCTTTATGATGCCTTGAAAATAATTTTTCCTTGGATTTTTTTTACTTTGTTCTCTCAGGTGCCACAGGAGGCTTGTCCCTACTTATGAAAGTGCTTCCATACGCCGATTTGATGAGGGCAGAGTTGATAATATTAGGTCTGCTACGTCAGAAGCATTTGCTTTTGTGAAAGCAATGATTGATGACAAGCCAGCTCTGTCGGTATGTTGGTCTGGCTCCTTCTGCTTTCCCTAACAAAACCCTAAGCAAGTAAATACATTTGTGATTCCCAATCTCTCACATTTTAACTGTTAGCTGAGAACATAAAAGAATAGCACAGAGCAACTGCTCTCACAGGATTTTGCTCTTTGTGCAAACCAACCGTTAATCTGAATGTTTATTTATTTAGCTGAGCATACAAAGGATTCAAAGGCCTAGACATGACACTGAAACAAACAAAACATCTGATATAATTATTGTTAATATTATTAATATTATTAATATTATTAATATTGCCATCCAAATGATCCATCACCACGTCCAAATGTCTAGGCTAAACATGGAAACCTCATGGCCATCATAGTATGACTCCAGGAGAAATGTCTGGCTGCTCCCCTGCAGCAGCAGATAGCTCGGTGGCAGGTCACAATGTGCAGTGTGGAATAATTCACATGTTTTCATTCCAGTGGATATGTTGTAGCTCATCTTTTTGATTTTGAAGTCACATTTCTGCCACATACACATAATATTCTGGGATCTCCAGGAGGGCTGAACTCTCACAATGGAAAAGCTTTCATGATAAAAAAAAAAAAAAGCATAATAAAACAGCGCTCCAAACTGTCCTGACATCACTCTGCAAAAATAAAAATTGTTACCTTTCTTTGAGGTGCTACCATCTGTTTTCCAGGAGCATGAGTACTCTGTACGTTAGATGGCTGTGCATAGAGGTGCAGCTGACAGAGCTGAAACTATAGCTGCCTGAACAGCTCTGTGCCCATCATCCCTGCAGAGCCTCCCTCAGCATCTCGCTGTGTGCCACTTCCACTCATTGCCCTTTACTGCTGTACAGGGAATTTCCAGGTGGCTGTTTGGATGGAACAAGCAGCCACAGCCTAAACTATTTTGCAGAGAAAAAACCAATCTAGCTGTTCTGCAATATCTAGCATGGCATCAGTAGAAACATTGCTGGGCTGTAGATTAAGCATAAATTACTGAAACAATGTAAACCAAGCTCTAACACCCTGGAGGATGAGGGGAAAATTGTCCAGAGAAGTAGTCACCGTTCCATGGCTTTTTCAATTTCCTTCTGGTTCCTATATCTAGAATCTAGCTATTGATGAAGACGACTTGAACAGTTTCCACGTTATAACAACAGCTTAAAGGAGAGCAGAGGTAATTTCCTCTGCTGAGTGAGTAATTCAGGGCAGAACGTGACCATGCTATTACACATAATAGTGACCATCATGTAATAGGCAAGAAAAGGCTGATTTGTTATCAGTGTCCTGTCTGGCTGCCCACAACACAGCTCTTTCTGGTACTCCATCAGAAGCTGCTGCCAACTTTAAACACTTCCCTCGACATTTGGGTGCCCAGCTGCAACCCCAGCACGTCTACACTCCTAGAAGGAGCCAGTCTGCTCCTGCTATGTTTTTGCCAGATCCTTGTTCTCTCCAACAACCTCTTTCCAACATCCTTGCTCCAAAACTTAACGACTTCTGCAGTTCTCCCAAAGCTTCAGCATTTCCCACTGTTTTACCACTCAGGTAAGACTGTGCCAATATTTGACAGCATCCTGAGCTGTACTGCTTCAAACAAACAAGCAGAAAAATGTCAAGCCAATCTAGGAGGAGCTCAATCTTACCCTCTAAATCTTTATATTTCGTGCTTTAGCAGCAGCAAATAGGGAAGGTAATAGGGAGGATAATGCTCTATTTCTCATGGAAAAAAAAAAAACAAAAACAAAAACAACCCAACACCAAAAAAACCACAAGTATAATGCAAGCCAATCCATTGACTCCTTGTATATTGAGAGATGCAAAGGGCATTTGAACTGGCTGACATTTGTTCTTTCCCACAACCTTCAAGAATACAGAAATCTTTGATTTGATTTTAGCACCCAAAACACTTATGATGGTCATAGAACCACTAGAAACAAAACTCATGTAACTATTTTGAGATGATTTCTTTAGATCTGCAGAATGCTTCTGGACGTGATGGGGTTAATTCTGGTATTTTTTTGGATAAAGAGATGCATCACTTGGTTTAAGTAGCCTTGGACTCCACAGAATATTGTTTGCTAATAGCCATTAATCCAAATCAAGTTAAAAATATTTTTCTATCCAATGCCAATAAAAATTATCTTCAAATGATAGCTTGAACAGTCACCAAAGATTGATCAAGTCAGATTGATTCTCTAGCAGGAGAAATATCTCATGCTTTTGACACTTGCTGTAAAAGAGGCAGCATCTGACACTGCAGAGATTGCTTGACTAGCTGTAAATTAATCAGATTTAAAGACTGCATGCGGTAATTTAATCTATATAAAGGAACTAAGGCCTGGCTCCAGCCCTATGAAAAAAAATATCAGACTCTGTACTTTGAAGGTCCCTGATGGTGGCCTTGAATTGCTTCTAAAATGAATTCTTTGTTAACAAGACCATTTATCGTCCATAGGAGCTGAAGGCCCCCTGTTCATCTGCAGACCTGGTCCCTTCTGGCTGTTTCAGGGTCTCCCAGTGTTGCATCTTCTGCCTTGATGTACAGCAGGGCAGCATTTCTTAGGATCATTCCATCAGCATGAAAGCCTGACTTTTGACAGGACTCAAAATTTACTAGCCTGTTATCTGAAATTTGAGGCATATATGGAGGGTAGAACAGCCTTGAAAAATCCTAGATGCCTTTTCACACACGGGAGTAATTTTTTTTTTTACCAGCTAGTAAAATACAAGTAATGGTTTGCATTAATATCACTGTCATTGTCCAAATAAAGCATTTTGGAAGAGATGCCCAGCTGTTCTGAAAACGCTGAATTACATTAAGAAATTATTTTCTTACTTCAGATGCAACAATTCAATTAGTAACAATCTACATGCCCAAAATCCGTTGAAAGGAACTGCAAATCTTGCTCTGGCTTCAAACAAATGACCACCAATTCCCTCGTTCAGCCCTTCCACAACCATACATGGTTACTGAGTAGGACACCAAATCCTTTTGGCTTTTCAGTTGAAAGGAATACCTGAGCAAGGAGCAAAGGACATTTGAGAGTGCCTGCTGTTTGGCTGCAGGTTAAATGATGGAAGATACGAACCTCTTTGAGAGTTCAGGCAATAAGAGATGTATTTCAATTCCCCCAACAGGATTCTGAGAAGATGCAGAGATTTAAGGATGCAATTGCGGCTCAAACTAATTACACTATTTTGGTAAGTAAAATGCTGCTTTGTCTGATTAAGAACTTTTTACCTTCCAATTGAAGTATGAAGATACAATCATTAACTTTGTAAGAAAGCATGCATATCTCAAAATACAAAAATACCATGTCACAGGAAAATTTCTCATGACACCCTCCAAAAAGCCATATTTGACCAATCGTACTTAAAAAACACCTCCTGGAAAAGAAAACAACAAAACTGTATAGAAAATTTAGTGGCAAGCCTCCACTCTTGCACATTAGCTCACTTATCTTGAACTTTCATGGAACATAGCACTCTGTATCCATCGTATTCATGGGGAATGAGCATCTGTCAAACATTATTTGTATTAGTGTCATAGTTAGAAGTCTCAGCCATGAATTAGGATTCCATTAAGCTTTGCACTGTACAAACTAACAGTGCAAAAGTGGCTTTAAAGAGAATGCAATCAAAACATAGCCAAGGTTTTTTGCTGTTGTTCAGTTTATATTGTTGGTATTTACTGTGGATTTTTAAAAAATAACTATTGAAGGATTTGCAAAATAGAACACTACTCAAATGAGATAAACTTTTATATAATAAGCTCCTTGGGGCCATCATGAAATATTATCTATGCAGATAGCCAAGAGAAGTGGCAATATGCTATTCTAAGTTGAAGAAGCAATGGAACAACTTATCAGGCAAAAAGTAAGGAAGGCGTAAAAGCAACTGACTTCACTGCTGTGTAACACGTAAGCAACAGAACTGCAATTGCAAAATCTAGATCCTCCAAATTTACAGGTACTCAGACCCATAAGCTATAGCATTACACGTAAGCTCACGAGGGCTGTAAAGCATTGAAAGCTTCCTGCCCTCCTCAGAACTAACTGTGCATTTCTGTAGGTTTCTCTTCCCTAGAGGTGAGAGGTCCTTATCTGGGACTTGATCCTCAGCTGACAAAAGCAGTCACTTGGATTAAATCTGTGACCAGAACCTGGGAGCACAGCTCATTAGATGGACTTGTACTGGGTGTACTGGAAAGCAGACCCAAAGTGTAATTTATAACAATATAATCAACAATGAGGAAATAATTAGACTAAGCTCTTTTTAAAAAATCTGAGTGCAGTGTCTAACAAAAGAAAGAAGAACCTTCCAATGATTAAATCAGTTTAGTATCAAAAACAACTCATTTTCTTTTTCTGCTGATTAAAAATGAGACAATTCAGCTTAAGTAATGTTTTGTATCATTACGTGCCAAGACAAAGCACAGACTTGCTCTATGAAGAGCCCAGTCAAACCACTCATGAAATTAATAAGTGTTAATAACCAGCTGTGTTAAGTGAATTTCCTACCCATGGTTTTGCCTCAGATTACTGCCTAACAAACCCACATTGCTGATCGCTGATTAAATACTCATAATGTTCAAGAAATCATTAACTTCCAGAGATATGCTTAGAGCACTGGAGAGGTGAAATGTTGCTGTAAGGCAGTATTTGTTCCTAGAATTGTGAAATTAAAGAAGTTGGAAAGAAAAGTAGTTTTAGCTTCAGTGCTAAGAGACTGCATTTTGAAGCTGAGACTCAACAATTACCTCTAAAACAGAGACAAGACTTACCTTAGGGTAACTGTCTCACCTGAATGATCTCAGTATAATTGCACAATGAACACAAGGTACTATAGGTCACAACCAATAGAGTTTCTGTGTCTTTCTGCTTTAAAAGTGTTTATTTCCTACAAATCCTCCCTCCAAATCTTTTCAGTTCAAGAAAATGCTATAAAATTGAGCCTCAAATATAGCTCATAGGAAAATACTAAAATCACCATAAGAAAATTAATTTATCTTTTAATTTAAAAATACTTCTAGGTGTTTCATCAAGCTCCCCTTTCTTTGTCAGAATTTAATTGATGTGTCTTTAAACTGAGGGCAAGGCTTCCACGGTCTGACTAAATTGGGTGTAACAGACTTTTCCTAAGAAAAACAAACAAAAAAAGTCTACTTCATAAAGCAAAAAGCAATTTAATGATTTTATTTCCCCTTGTTAGGGCTTACTAGTAGCATTGCTATCTTAAATGTGGAGCTCTAAAATTCAATTTAGCACAGTTTTTTCCAATGCGTTGACTCACGGTTTATTTTGTTAGCCTGTCTCGGCCTCTCTTCAGACATGACATTGATCTATGTTGCAAAAATGTCATTGCTAACAGCCTTATAAATCTTGTGTGATAGCAAAATATTTCCTTTGATTATCAAGTCAGTTTTTCTCTATGGGAAAAACAACGTAAGCACTGCCTTGATGTATGCTACCTTTTGCAGCATCCTTGCTTCATCTGGGCTGATGAACAAATGGCCCCTTTACCAATGGGTGCCTACTCCTTAATAAAGCAAACAAAATTATGCACTCCCAGTCCCATGTTTCAGGCACTTATTGCTGTTTGAAACGATTCTCCCCTCAAGAACAAGCTAGTGATTTTTGTTATATATTAATTCTCCCCTCAAGAGGGGAAACAAGCTCATGTTCTCTTTTAAATCCTACCTTCTCTCTCAGGTTGCTTATTTCTCTTGTTGCAAGGGATTTATGTTACAGGGGTATCTGCTTTGCTCTCAGTGTAGCACAACATCCCTTGCCATGCATTTCCTTCTTGTGTGACATCAGCCTCCCACCAAAAGCTAAAGCTCCATCCTTACAACCAGTGCACTCACCAGCAAGAGTAAGCCCAAACTGAACGAGCATCTGAGACAATTCCTGCCTGCTTGGAGCAGCTGAATGCTATTCTTCGGATGCCAAAATTTTGACTTGGTTTTCTAAAGGAACAAATTCCTGGAAATGTCATGTTTGACTGTTTGTCTGTCTGCTCCCTCTACTGACTTGTGATACCACTGGCCTCTTCAACTCACATTTTCTATCAAGCAAAAACTGTTGAAGTTAATCGAATTCTCTAAAATCTGTAGTGCTAGATAGCTGGATAAAACACAGAAACCCAAGCACGGTAAGCTCCCAGAGAGGCTTACTTCAGGCTCAGAGTGGTTAGTTCTCAAGAGTTGGCCACCAGCCTGTTCCCTGTACTGTTCCACATCTGTTGTTTTCAGTTGTCTCATGTCAACAAAGGCTAAAATAAGGGCTGCCCCCTGAGATAATTCAGCTCTGCAATGAAACCCCAAGGGGAGGGGAATTGGAGCACTTGAGCAGTCAGTTAAATAAAGAAGACTTTTGCATCCCTAATCCTAATCCTCAACTGGTTGGAGATGCTAGTAGACTGTGATAGAACACTGGTAGATCTAACCATTCTCTACTTGAAACAGGATGCTTTCATACTGGCCCTGCACAGAGGTATAACAGAAAAAGAAAGATTACAGATGTCCCTTCCAATTTAAGTTGTTCCTAATAAATCTGCTAGTAGACATCTACTAGATCTTTAGATCTACTTTCATTGAATGATATATACTTCTAGAGTGAGATCCATGCTGCAAGGCATCAAAAGGTTATCCTGATGTCATTTGGAAGCATTGTGGAGCTTTCCTCTTTGAAATATAACCCAAGTGATGCACAGCCAATTCCAAAACACACTTAGAGATTTCTGTTGTCTCCTATGCTCCCTTCAGCAACTTTGAAAGTCCACTCCATGTTATTCTGTTCTGGGAAATGATGAGCATCTAGAACTCCAGATAACATCAGCACATAATATATCTGTAGATTATCCCCTTCCTAATTTTGACAACTTCAAAGCACCTCATGAACACCTAGCTATTGAGCATCAACAACATATACACTCCAAGTAATATCTGAACATTACAGGCATTACATTACTCAAACTAAGTTCATCAATCAGAAAACAAGGCAGCAACAGCCAGGAATGCTCAGCTGAATGCTGGTGTCTCTCATGTTGTACACAGGCTATTACTGGAATGGCAATAGACAATCACCTACTAGGGCTGAGAGAGGTGGCACGAGAACACTTCAAGGAACTGCCAGAGATCTTTACAGATGAGACGTATTTGACAAGCAACAGGTTCATCCTCTCAACCAGCCAGGTAAGTTTTTCCCTATTCACTTACTAAGCAAAGAGTAACTGATTTGCCAAAGTCTGTGTCTCACAATGAAAGTGACAGAATGAGAAAAAAATAGTGCCACCAAGAAGCCTGCAAAATTCTCCAGCTATTTAATCCAGTTTTGGGTAATTTTTCACAATTAGCACAGTAAATACTAACTGAAGTTATCACATCCCTTGCAACACCACAAAGGCCTACCTCGAAATTCTGGAAATACACACAAAAAAAAACACACAAATTCAGTGAAATTCATACAAGGGCTTGGTATTTCTACACTTTCCAAGCTACACATCTTCCTATTCCCTTTCTTTTCTTCCTTCCCCTAAGGTGCAAACTGTAGTGGAGATTCTTTATGCCAGAGACTGTACAACCCCAAGCCAGACAGGCTGCCACTCTGACAAAGAAAAGCCAAGAACTATGGGGAGATCTTATTTTTGAAAGGAGCCACGTTAGAAATCCTCAAGAGCCTGCAGTTATTCTGTGCAAACCGTGCAGATATGCATCTTAGACTTACAGACATTTTAGATATTTATGGATTTATAGTTATGAACCACTATACTAAGATAATTCAAGAGCAAACATTACTTATATTTAATGTTCTGAATAAGGAAATATCCTTTGTTGCATACATCCTAGAAATTAAATGTTTAATTGCATATTGCAGCAGTCCTAATGAAAGAAGAAAACCATATAAGAATTCATTTACTGAAACTCAAACCCAAGTGCATAGATTGGATCTGTGCAACAATAAAGACTTACAATATCATGCTGCAGCATAAAACCTTAATAAGTAATTTGATCTTGTCATAATGTTTGCAGGCTTGAGACGTGAGTGAATGTAACCAACACACTACTACATAAATTCTCCAGGAAACTATCCGTGAGCAAAGAGTGTTTGTGAATAGCTTTATGGCCTTCGGCTGTTGCACAGCAAATTCATCTGACAATTCTATGGCTCTATTAGCAGGACTAATGGCTTGTTCTACACCATTAAAAAGCCAAATGTCATTTGTGAAGGCCCATATACACAAAGTCTGAAGCATAGATTTCTATCACATCCTTTATTTTCTCCAGTAGAAACAGTTTCATTCCTGTATTATGCCATGATTAAATTGAGAGATAATAGAAATGTAGCACCCAAATGTATTAAAATATGCTTTTACACTGCATCACTTTTAATGAAGATTAGAATTAGAATGTAAATTAATATTGAGATGGATGATACTACTTTCTATAATCAATCACACTCTAGTTCTAAGCATCTTGATCTTCATCAAAATTGTATACAGCCTTAGAAATTCCACACCTATCAGAGACATAGCTTGTAGCTGTTCAGCAAATGGAAATAAGATGTGCATTATAATCTCCCCTTCAAACAATGCCAGTTTTTAAATACCAGAAGACAAAAAGAGCAGGCAAATTCCATACTGAGATCACAGCCTTTACCTTCCAAGCATCAGCTCTAGAGTTCTGAAGAAACTGCAGTTCTACAAAGTGGATTCACTATCACAGAATCATGGGATGGCCAGGGTTAATGATCATCTAATTTCAATCCCCCTGCTATCTGCAGGGTCACCAACCACAAATGCTATGTTTCAAGCATTTGTTTATCTTTTTCCTCATTCCTAAGCAGCTGATTTCAGGTGCTCTGATTAATGAGAAATTATTCCTTACCTTCTCCCTGCAACCAGGTTCCAACAACTATGGAAATGTTCTGCTGCTACGGGCCTGTGGTGCCTGATGGCTATGGGGCATGCTATAATCCTCAGCCAGAGCATATATTATTCTGCATCTCAAGCTTTAAAGACTGTAAAGAAACATCTTCAGATAGGCTTGCAAAAGCTGTGGAAGAAAGTCTCCTAGAAATTAGAGATCTGTGCAACAAATGCAGCTCTACAGCAGCAAAGTCACTTGCTAAACAAGAGGAAGCCACACAGTTGCAGAGTGACCGCAAACTCTGAGAAGCTCTGGGAAATATTATCCTGAATCCACCATAAGAAGAAAAAATTGACATAGTTGTTCAAAGGCAAGATAGTGCTAGTGATATATTAGCATAGAAAAAAAAAAAAAGCCATTTCTTTTACACTGTTGTTGTGAAATCCTACATTTCATGCTTGAGGATCAGCAAGAAGGTTTGGTCTCACTAGCTAAGATGAAGGAGGCAGTAATATGTGTATGTACTGTAGTACCATTTCTAACCATAATTGACTTATGCCAACTTATCTTCTAAAAAAAAAAAACTGAAGTCTGTATATGACATGAGTGAAATACTAAAGCACGCCAAATAATTAATATCCCCAAAAATTAGTTCTAAAACATTTACATCTATTCCTGCAATGTTATCGTGTAAAGAGGAGGAAAAATAAAAGAATTTCCCCCTATCAGGTATGTTGAGCACTGTAAATAATGAGCTGTTGTCACTAAATCTTGAAATTAGCATGGGAAGTATTAAATAGTCTACTATTTCCAACATTACCAAAGCAGATCTTTTCTAATAGTGGCTATTGTGTGTTTCTAAATTCAGCAACAGACATCAGCAAAATTAGACTAGGGTCTGCACGTTCCCCTAAGTCAGAAGTGCTGCAGGTTCAGCCTTTATGCTGGTTTGCACTGGTCTTAAGCACAGTGCCACCCTGAAAGCAGCATGTTGGAGATAAGATCCATCAAAGGGAGTTAGGATAAATTTGTCCATAATGAATTGACTTGATTATTTCTTTTTGACAGCGAGCAAAATCCAATCTGACAGAGAAGCAAAGCACAAAGCACGAGTACAATTCAATTCTATTTAAATCTTTTTTTTTTGTTTGCATAGGAAAGAATTCTGTCAGTGTGACCAGCAGGAGAGCTGTATGCAACCACAGAAAATCAAAGAGCAATAAATAACTAGATTAAGGAGGCAAACTTGCAAGATAAGGAAGTTTCTAAGATAGAGCGATAAATACCAGTTTAAGAGTACTAGTACTCATATCAGCTCTGCATCATCCCACTTGGGAGGGATTTATATTTTATGTTTTAATATCAGATGCAGGGTATCGCCTTCTGCAACGCACAATAAACTCAGTTGCAAAGGTAACAGAATACTTGGTAATTACCACATTTTCTGTGAATGTTACCCTGTGGTTTTCCTCATCATTTCTCTCATTTCCTACAAAACCTTCCTAGGACTGGCATTTTCATACATCTTCACTCAAGCTGAAATACATTGCCATGCTTAGCAGCATTCAGATGGAATCACGAGGATATAGCTTAGTGACTGACTACAGATACCTAACAACTAATTGGGCACTCATCCTTTGTTAGGAGGCTGCAGCATGCTCTGAAGCCAGGCCAGGGACCTGATGGTGGAGAAATGGAGACCTTTTCTCTTCCTTTGTAGACAAAGCAGCCACATGCCTAAGCACTCACAGGTCTGAAAGCATGGAAATAGATGCATTGTAATAAACTAGAAGCACAGATATACTTCTAAGAACTCTAGATACTGACCCAGTAGATTACGTATGTCCACGCTTATTTTATTGCCTCTTTTTAGTCACGTTCATTCAATTAAGCATTCTGCTTGATAAAGGCTATGTATGCCATATGCCAAAGCACAGTAGGCCTAATAATCAATCAGAACAAGTCAGCTATGGTGGAGGAAATCAACTTAGTTGATTTACAGTGATTGGGGGTTTTTTCTTAAGTTAATGTGTTCATTTAAAAATGTGTATTTCGTTACTCCATTAACGTGGCTCAAGCCAAAGACTGAATCTATTTTTAGATGATGTAAATAGTACCATGGCAAAAAAGCTGCCCCAAAGTTAAAACTCAAATGTCACCCCTTTCCTAACAACAATAACAAGATGAAAGTTAAACTAAAATATTCACTAAACTAAATATTCACCCAACAAATTTGTTATTCAAAATATGACTTAGAATTGTTTTTCTACTACAGTAATGAAAATTACTTTTAAACATTCCCAGTAATTTTGCTCCTCTATCTTAGGTCACTACAAGGACATTCTGCTCTTTTAACATAAACATAGCACTACAACCTCAAGATTTTTTTTTTTTCCATACGACTCTTTGCAATTACGGCCGTACTTTATGGGTACACGATGCTGTGAATTGTTACTTGATTATTTATTCATTTTATCCTAAAGAAATGTATGATTTTATTTTGTATTCCTAGTTTGATAGGTACCAATATTTGTTGGTACCTATTTAAGAAACCTCAGGCTCAGCTCCTGGTACATCTACACTGGACAGTCTTGCATAAGGTTAAGATGGATAAAATTTATAGCTCAGAGCATTCCCAGTTTGCCAGCAGGAGCTTGATGGGGACTGTGCTTCTTCTCAGCCAACAGAATCCCCTACACTTACGTTTTATCATCCCATGCAGCACTGCATTTATTAAGGACTTCAGGAAATAGGTAGCTTTCTTAGGTGCTTATATAAACTGGTTCATGTGATAACGAAACAAAATAAACGTGATTTCAAAACCGGTATTGTTAAGGGTGTGAGAGCCTGCTGCCTGTGGCTGGAGCAGGGCTGAGGCAGCGTGCCTGGACTGCAGCGTGGGTGACAGAAGACTCAGAAATATTTTAGTGATACTTTTATTTTTATAAAATAGTATAGATTTATGACAAATGTGTTTACTTATAGCCTGTTCGATTCAGTAGTTCAGTGCTCTATAGAAACATGTTCATGTGTATCTATATGAATATATATATGTATATCTGATGTGAAGCAAATGCTGGTAAACACTATTTCAGCTCATTGCGCTGCCAATAAAGCCATTGGAATGAGCTCATGGCCTCTGTGTTTCCATTAAAAGAGTTTTCAGTCTACATGAACTCACACAATCTCATAAAGGCTCCACAGCAACAAAAGACAACAGCAAAAATCAGTGCTGTGTCAGACACCACAGTGCTCACACCCAGTGCAGGGTAACAGCACGCTCCCTTGTGGTGGTCCTGAAGCCACAGCCACGCCATGGTGATGGAAGGAGCAACTGCTGGGTGTAAAGCTGAGAGTGCTGAGACTTTGTCTCTCATCCGTTTTGTGTGAACTAATTGTCACAGGTTGCCATTGCAACTGCCTGGAAAGCAGTGAGAATTGTCTGATGGGGATTGTGCATAGCTGACCAAAAAATAAAAAAGCATTTTTCAAGGTGAGTTGGATCACACCCTGGGCAACCTGATGTACCTGTGGTGTCACTGTTCATTGCAGGGGAGTTGGACTAGATGGCTTTCAGAGGCCCCTTTCAACTCTAAGGATTCTATAATTCCCACCTCAAAGCATGTGGCTTTCAGAACTGGACTCCTTCTACAACTAGAATGATAGAATTGCTCAGGTTGGAAAGGACCTTAAAAATCATCAAGTCCAACCACAAGCTAACCATACTGCCCTAACTCTAACAACCCTCCACTAAGTCATGTCCCTGAGCACCACATCCCAAATGGTTTTTAAACCTTCCTTGTTCAGCCATTTGCTGTGGGTTTTCTTGGTGATTTAAATTACCATGCTCAAAGCAGCTGTTGCAGGTGGACGTGGTTAAGTTACCTTTATAACTGATGTATACTGGCTCAGCCTTGGCACCTAGCTGATAAACAAGTAAGAGGCAAGAGCCTGAATATTAAGTACAAAGGAGTCTGGTTCCACTGAGGAATAAAATACTATGGAATAAGATGAATAAAAAAATAAAACAAAATTAAAATCAACAGACTGCCAGGCATGTGGCATTTGTGTGCTGCTGGAATTGCTTCATCGACAAGTTCTCCTATTTCCCCTGCTCTGATTAGTTTACAGCAACACAATGTACTGTAATAAGCCCCAAACACACCTAATTCAGCTAAACAAATATGTAGGTTAAGAGAAGACTTTGTCCCTTTTGGCTCAATTCTCAGCTTCACAAAACGTCAGGGCTTTAAACATACTGAAGAATTACTCTTTAAGCAGAAGTGAAATGAATTATGCGTCAACGAACAATTGGGTTATCAAGGTTGTTCACTTAATGTTCCAGCTGTTCTATAGCACCATCTTAATGTTTATCGGAGATTTCTTTTGAATTCAGTCTTATTCCATGGTACTTGCAAATAAATACATCATGTTTCTTACAGCTGCTGCACCAGTTAATAGCAAATACAAGTACATAATGAATTTCTTGCCTTTTACTGTTAGAACAAGAAATGACGGAGGGTAGAGGCTTTGTTCAAAGGAGATCCATTAACGTAATAATAGAGAGGCCAGAGATTAAAGCTGATAGGATTTATGGGGAGTTCTGTGCAGTACTTAGCTACATTAACACTGTTATTTGCTTCTTGCTCCCATAAGCTTGGATACACCAGGAGTTCACTGCAAGGCAAGTAACATAGTATTACTCACTGCTTCTTTACCCTTTTCCAGCTGTTGTGCAAGCAGGTGGACACCAACTGATTCTAAAGGAGATACCAGACTATAGGGAGACTGTATTTCACTGCAACATCTTTGACCTGGATTTTGATAAAGTCTCTGATGAAAAGCACTTACGCTTCAAAGTGAGCACTTCCTAAGGCATAAACAGTCTGAGTTCTGCCAACATAAACTCCTCTAATTTTGCGTTGCCTTACACTGGAGATGTTTTAAAGGGCACAGACAGAAAGAGACAACGGTTCTTAAGGCAATATCTGGGAGAGCACTGTCTCATGGCCTTCCCACAGGCACCAGCACACAACCGTAAGAAAACTTGCTAGATTTCAGTCCACAAAAGCATTGGAGCATCCTTTTTCCTTCCACAAAAATATGCTTTCTATGCTTGGGTTTTTGGGGGTGTTTTTCGTTTGACTTTTTTCCAGCTCCTCACCTTCCCCTGGCAAATCAAAGAAAATATCATTGCAGCACCTCAGGAGATGCATTATATATAATACATAAAACGTAGTACAGTATCTCCTATAAACACTACACATACACTATGTAGTATAATGTAATAATATGTAATATGGAT